TGCAAGATTTCAGCCCATATAAGTCCATGGAATCAAGTGGTCTACATCCATGGGTGCTGACAGAATTGGCCAATGTCCTTGCAAGGCAAGGATAGGATGTGTCTGGATGGGTGAAAAACCATGTGGGTAAAAAAATGATTTGCTGGTCAAGCTCACACTGTAGTGGTTAATGGGTTTTACTTTACCTGGATGCCTGTCACAAGTGGAGTATCACAGGGAGCTATCCTGGGATGTGTCCTGTTTAACGTCTTTATCAGTGACCTGGAGAATGTCATGGAGTGCACCCATATCAAATTTGCAGATGACACCAAATTGAGGGTCCTGGTTGATATGCTTGAGGGCAGGGCTGTCATTAGAAGGACTGATGCAGGCTGGAAAAATGGGCTGACAGAGACCATGAAATTCAGGAAGGACAAGTGCAAAATGTCCAACCTAGGAAGGAAGAGCCCCTTGCAGTGATAAAGGCTGGGAGTGCCTCGCTGGGGAGCACCTCTGTGGGCAAAGCCCCTGGGGGCCCTGATGGGCAGCGAGCTGAACGTGAGCCTGCAGTGTCCCTGGCAGCAACAAGGGCCAACAGCATCCTGGGCTGTGTCAGCAGGAGCACAGATCTAGGGAAGGGATTAATCCCCTCTACTCAGACCTTGTTATTCTGCATCTAGGCTACTGCTGCCCATTTTGGGCCCCCAGTAAAAAGATGTTGATAAACTGAAGTGCGTTCAATGGAGAACCACCAAGATGGCTGGGGTTAGAGCATCTGTGCTGTGAGGTGGGTTAAGGGAGCTGGGCTTGTTCAGTCTGGGGAAGAGATGGTTTCAGGGGGACCTAACAGCAGCTTCTGGTGCCTATAGGGAAGGTATCAAGGGGACAGAGCCAGGCTCTGGGTGGTGGGAAGACTAAAGACACTGAGCATAAAATGAAACAACAGAGGTTCAGACTGTATATAAGGAAAAATCTTTTCATCATGAAGACAGTCAAGCAGAAGAGTAGGCTATCCAGAGAAGCTGTGCTCTGTCCTTGAAGGTTTTCAATACCCAACTAAATATTGAACCAGCAACAGGCAACTTGGTTTGACCCCACAGCTAACCTTGCTTCGAGCAGGACGTTGGACTGGAGACCTCTTGAGGTTCCTTCCAACCCAAATTCTCCTATGATCATATGAACGTCAGCTGAATGTTGCACCACAGTGAACTATAAAGTGTTACTCTGTATCAGCTAGTAATGCATAGATAACTAAAAGAAAAAATTAAAGATTATTACAGGATTAAAATAAGGTCCAATTTAATTTCCACTATTACCAACATATTCAAGCAATAACTACCTCAAAAAAAATCAGTAAATCACAAACAGATTATAAAAAGATTCCAAATTAAGTTTACAAAAATATCCTGAACCAGTTCATTTCAAAATCCCACCCACTGCTGCCATTAGCAGGCATGTAAAATTCTTTAGCGAACAGAACAGTCAATGGAGCAGCACTAGAATAAGAATTTATTTTCCTTGTCTCATAATTTTTCCACTCTCATAAAAAGAGACACTCTACCATAAAATTCTTTTTAAAACAGATGGAGACAGGTACAAAACATAGTCACCTGGGAAGCTAAGCATGTGGCAAAGTAACAAATTACCAAATCATAAACCACTATTAGGCTACTAATTAATAAGCACTGCTAATTCAATCATGTAAATATATCATTCAACCATGTGTGTGTGTATATATATACATATATATGTATATAAAAGCCTGAACAATTTGCATTTGCAGAACATTAGCATTTTGCCAAATTCTAAAGTACATATATTTACGAAAAGGAAATCAGCAAGACAAAAGAAATATCCTAGAACTGTTAATTCTAAAACTGTAAGGGTAACTCAGGTGAAACACTCCAGGGAGTGATGACAGGTCAGACCAAGTTCTTTTTTTAGTGCTTCCTATTCTTTAGGTCTACGACATGTTACATTCAGCACATGGGACTTTGAGATTATTCTTTTGAGACATCTAATAGTCTCCACTCAGCAAAGACCATAGGTACTTTCTCTGGATTTGGGATTCCTCTCTGGAGGCCAGATATGTAAAAGTTGGATGTTGACATACCTATTTAGTAAGTACTTTAAGACTTAGTTAAAGTCCAAGCTGCAGGAAGGTTTCTTCCAACCAGGTCGCAAGTCCTCACCTGTAACAGCTAACTCCAGGGACTGGCTCAGTCATCCTGTTTTATTTCAAAACTAAAGACAGCGATGTTTACTCAAGTTACATCTAACAGTCACTGGACAAGAGCAGAAATTGTCTGAAAAGCATGGACTTAAACTAGGATTTCCTACTCCTAAAAACAGATAAGGTATCACATGGGTGGGATTTAGTTCTCACATTAAGACACTTAAATGCATGTTCGTGTCAGTGAGCTACATATCTAAGCTCATGCTATCATCACTGCTCGATTCAGTTGCCTAAGCAGACACATTTAGTGACAGTGCCACTAAAGATGCTCCAGGGTATCAGAGGCATCTACATGGAGAGAGAAAATGTGCACAGGACTTACAGAAGATCTGCAGTCCTTTGGGGTAGCAGCTGGAGACCCAGCCCAAAACATCAGGGTACTTTGTAAGTGTTTCATAGCTTAGACATCCCAACCACATGGAAACGTCTAAATGCACACGTCTACCTTTGTGCACCTTCATCTTGAGGCAAGTCCCATCTTTGTGAAAAATCTCAAGAAACACGAGACAACAATCTGTCTAATAACTGTTCTGGTTGCAGAGGTTATTGCTCCCACCAAAGCTGAGATATGCTCACTAATGTGGTTCAACTGCACTATTTAATTTTGCACTGAAACAGACAAGGAGAGCCCAGGTGACCAGTTAATAGCACTTTTGCAGAGAGGCTAGTATGTGTCTAAATTGCTACAATGGCATTATAAGGGGAACCCTCACTCTGCCCCAGCACTTTCAAAGTTGCATAACAAACTGTTTCAAATCTTTGTCAGAGCGTAAGTGCCATGTAGTTATTCCATCTCTGGACACAAACCCTCTCTCTCTGTATGCTGTGAAAAAGATTTCAAAAATCATGTCTCAAGTCAGCAGTTACTTCAAAACTTATCAAGGATGCATGTGTGTGTTTGCCAAAATATCCATTGCTCTTCCAGTGGTGTAGAGAGCTTGCTGGTGAGAAAATGCTACAATATGCAAAGAAGAAAATATGTGTCCCTTTGTGCCCGAGTTGTTTCTAATAACAAAAATATTGTTTGCCCATAGATCAGCAAATACGCAGTGGTGTGCAATCTAGTGTTGAAACTGTTCTTTAGAACAGGAGTCTTGAAACAATACACATTTTGCTATTATACAGATTCCAGTATACTCCTGTGTTCTGTATCTTTTCTTTACAAAATACTTTTGAATGAAGCTTTTTTAAAATATGAAAACGAAAATTATTATATCAACCAGATACCAGTTCCTTTTGTTTATTCCTTTCCTTGCTCTTTGTAATCATGCTTTCAGCGCTGTGGAGGAAGGTGGGAGAACTGATCCTCTACCTTAATGAGACAAACAAACAAAGACAAAAAGTAAAGCAGTAACAAAAAGGGCACAGTAGTTCCTGAGTGGCTACCAAACTTACATACTTATTTATTTTCTTTAATGTGGCTAAACTTATCTGATTTTCTAATGTGAATATTCAGGAACACTTGTTTTGCAAATCAAACATTTCTGTTGAAAGAAAGTTTGCTGAAAGAAAGTTTGCTAAAAGAAAGCATTACAGAAATGTTACCGTATGACATACCAAATACGAAGTTTAAGAAACAGAACAGTGGCCAGTGTCTAAACAAGAATAAGAATCTCTTTGGGGAGCCAATTCAACATCAAAGTAACTTGTTTTGTAAATACTAATATATTTTATATATACACAAAACCCACAGGTTTATTATCTGAAATGCATTCAAATTAACAAGATAAATTATTTACAGTATTAAAAAAGGGGTATTTCAGAGAATTTTTCTGACATAAAAATGGATCTGACTAATGCTAAAAATGTTCTATATTTACGGTGAATATACACTACTAGGAGACATAACAAAACTAAAATGTTGTTTATCTATTAGAAAGAAACGCCATTCATCATAATAGTTACCCTCTAAATTTATCAAAGACTCTGGATCAGGTAAGGTATTGTCGAACTCATATTTTAAAGGCCTTTTATGTTTAAGTTGATTTCTGTTAAAATATGTTAATTATGAATATAATTCCATCACACAGAAATAAAAATTTAAAAATCAGATAATACATAAGGGGATTTTATCAATATTAATTGACTTGAACAGAAAGGTTTAAAGTAATCATTAAAGGAGTTAAATTTATTCAGATTAAATCTTTGAAGTCATTAGTCAACTCGGAGTAAATTAGGCCTACTGTGCCTACACTTGTTCATACACAAGTAAAGCCAAGCAGTATACAATGAATGTAAGAAAGTTGTAAAACTGAGCACCAGATTTTATTTTGCTCATGTAATGACTCTTTTGATGAAATCACAAACTAAGTCTGTCCTATAGGAATTTGTAGTGATAAGTTACCAAGTTTTAAAATAAACATTTTTATTTCTGCCAGCCAGCCATTGTCTCTAAAGCACACAGAAGCTATACAACTCTTAAAAGACAAGCATTAGTTTTCTAACTTGGAAGCTCTACACACGTTATGTCTTGACTTTAAAATTCATAGTGCTTATTTTAAACATCACCTGAAACAACTTTGTTTGTTGCCATTTTCACTGTGTATGCAAACACCAACATATTGTTTTCCATTATGAGAAACAGCATTTATTCAAAACGGCACCTGGATTATTACATTTTTTCTATCTTTAAAATTCGAAATAAATTGCATTATCTCTGAAACTGCTGTATAGCATAGTAGTTTAAAGTAAATGTTTTCCAATAACGACAATTTTCCTGTCTGGCTCAAAAATTTTCCAATGCAATCCCACAACAAATGCACTGTTAAAAAGCAGGTTGCTTGTTTTAATCAATTTGTATTTGAGCTGAGTTCAAAAGAACACTCACTCTCCATAAATATAAAGAAAACAAAGGGAATTCATCTGAGAGGTGAAGAATAATTTGATCAAGGTTCTTCAGAAATTTGATTTTTTCTTCTCCATCATAGTCTGAGCTTGAAATGTTACTCTCTTCTGTCTCATTTTGAAGAAGTTGTTCCAGAATCATGCACAAAAGAAAAATATTCTCATACTGGGTAATGTCATACATGTCCTGGATCTGGGAATAAAGAAAAATCAATACATAAGCACAGTGTGAAAATGCTTCTGCAGTCCACCATCTCAGATGACAGTTTAAGGAATAATGTTAAAATTTGCAGTAGTATTTATATAATCAGAACGGCTATACGCCCAGTATGATTACTTCTAAGAAACATTTTCTTTTTTGTGGTAACAGCCAAACAACTAACTCTCCATCATACTACCAAATGAAAAGTCAACATAACCTCCTCTTCGTGAGTCAAAGAGGGTTTTCTCTACTTAATTATCCATAGGCTGTGACATACAATAATGATCTACAGATAAACAACAACAACAACAACAACAACAACAAAAGCTTTGTTTGTTGTAGGCATATAATTAAAATTGGTGGAATTAAAATTAAAAAAGAAATTTTTTTATTCTCAAATACAGACAATCATCTATTCAAGTGATACCCCTAGAAAGTAAATAAAAAGTCCAAATTCTCAATCTCAATAGGAAAAACACAAGCCAGTACTACATATCTGAGTCAGTTACGAAGTGGAAGTGTCAGTTTGTCAAATAAGTTCACCAACCAAACTAATAATTCATTAAAAGCCGTACAGCTTTATCTAATATAAATTTACCTGTCCTGTGTTTTGAAACTGCAATTTCAAACTGAAGCTTTCAGAATCTCTGCCATAAATAGGGAATAACTGGTAAGATAAAAACTTAAACCTTGGGGAGTTGTCTCTCTGGAATGAAATTCTGTGTCCTTAACAGCAAAATCTACCATTAATATGAAATGACCTTGTTCTGAACAAGGCTGCAATTACAGTATCTAGATGATCAGAGCTGAAATGTAAAATCATAGCTGCTAGAAAATTAATTATATATTTTAGAAAATACGCTGATAGCTCTAGCGAGCCTAAACAACTGTTTAGGCCTGTGGTACAAAGCCACATGGGTCTAGGCTTCAACAAGGGTCTATGAATCAGTATCAAATCATTTTACCCACCCTAAACCGCATACTGCTAGACTTTCCAAAGTGTGAAATTTATTACATAATAGTTGTTTTTACAAACAATGGAAGTAATTTTTGATTCCACTAGAATCTGACAAAAAGACAGCACTTTACCTTCCTCAGGTAAGGCTGCTACTATCTACCTCTGCAGTAGACGGTGGCTCAGGGATTGCTCACTTTGTTTTTCTGAGTTAGTAGTTCTTAAACCTAAAATCTGTGTTTGAAGCTCCCTAGAGTAATGTCTTTCAGGTAACCTCCCACCTCAGGGACAATACTAAGACACCACAGCCATCCTATTGCAAAGCCTCAATGTGGCAAAGTCATTTTGCTGAGTTTTCTAGACATCTTGAAAATTAGGTTAATTGCTGAAAAATATTACCCCTAGCCTTGCATGCTCCAGTTATGTCTTTCTGAAACCTGGTAAGAAAAATCTGCAGTTCAAAAGCTGCTGCCAAGAATTTGATATTGAAATTCTTATCACAACAGCAAAAAAAAAAAAAAAGGACAGTATTAAGTATCTGCATACTTTTAAAGTCCTTAAATCAAATTGCATAAATAGGGAAAATCTCCTTCTAAAAAAGAGGTAACAAGACAGTCTGTTTCTTCAAATACCAAGCATCTGCCTCTAGGACAACCATGCCTATACACTGATTGTTTTGACCGTTAACTAATACTGGTGAGATAAATGTATTTATTTTGCTTATTTGACTAAATTACAGCTTTCTAAGTTCAGAAAATAACCAGTATTAATGATTTCCTGAATTTCTAGGGAATAGATGATTCTAAAGGCCTATAAAGTCTGCTCTTAAGACTTTCAGTGTAGGAGTCATCTGATCAAACAGTGTCCTGGTTTCGGCTGGGATAGAGTTAATTTTCTTCCTAGTAGCTGGTACAGTGCTGTGTTTTGGATTTAGGATGAGAATAATGTTGATCACACACTGATGTTTTAGTTGTTGCTAAGTAGTGCTTACACTAGCCAAGGACTTTTCAGCTTCCCATGCTCTACCAACTGAGAAGGCTGGAGGTGCACAAGAAGCTGGGAGGGGGCACAGCCAGGAGAGCTGACCCAAACTGACCAAAGGGATATTCCATACCATGTGATGTCATGCTCAGCATATAAAGCTGAGGGAAGAAGAAGGAAGGGGGGGACGTTCGGAGTGATGGCGTTTGTCTTCCCAAGTAACCGTTACGCGTGATGGAGCCCTGCTTTCCTGGAGATGGCTGAACACCTGCCTGCCGATTGGAAGGAGTGAATGAATTCCTTGTTTTGCTTTGCTTGCGTGCACAGCTTTTGCTTTACCTATTAAACTGTCTTTATCTCAACCCAAGAGTTTTCTCACTTTTACCCTTCCAATTCTCTCCCCCATCCCACTGGGGGGGAGTGAGAGAGCAGCTGTGTGGTGCTTAGTTGCCGGCTGAGGTTAAACCACAACACACAGGCATCAACAAGCTGAGATAGTTATCCTTGGTTCCTGTTTTAGTAAACAGAGGGAAGCAGGGGGTGGGACTCAGTTGCTTGAATGTAGACATCTATTGTCGTTTTGGATGTCCAAGGGTATCCAAGGCATGTGCATGAGTAGAGCTTTACGTAAGAGTCAGCAGCTATAAGCCAGGAGTACCACCTTAGAGCAGACAGTGGGGTATTAGATGTATGAGTTTTGGCAACTGTGGCTTTCAAGATGTAATTCATCCCATTCTAAACTAGATCCTCAGATGTACTATGCCCTGAAACTCTTTACAGTGATGAAGTATGACTGTGCCCAGAAAAATGACTATGTAGAAACATAAATTGAAATGCTATGCTTCTAGTTCCTGTAATTTGGATATCAGAAGCACAATGTTACAACCAAAAACCTCTGTTTGATTTTTAAGTGTTGGCCTTGTAAATTCACTCAGATCTTCCTTTCACATGAGGAATCAATAGAAAATGTTTCAGAAAGGCAAATTATGTCACTTCACTTATCCCCGTAACCTCAGGCTCTTCCAAGCAGTTAAGAAATTGTGTCGCTTTTAGTGGGTCTTGAAAAGCGCAACTAATTGCAACTCAGTAAACTATCAATTATCCATAATTGATTATGGATAATAGCAACCACAAGCTAACTAATTCTCTTTCCTCTGCAAATACTACTGCACTAAAGGAAAATTATTTTAGCCACACAGACTTTGAACAGAAAGGGTAAGTCTGATGGCAAGGAGGAAGTTTTTTTTTTGAGGTAATTGCTTTTCAGGGGACAAATACACCTTAAAATGTTGTTTTATAAAAGCAGGAAAAAAAAATCAGTCTAAAACATTTTCTGGCTCAAGGCTTATTAACCTTTCCAACCCATTTAATAATCTCAACAAAACGTGTCTCCATTTCTTTTGTTAGATGTCTTTTGAAGCACTAATTGATGCAATTACTGCCAATGTAAATTTATGCCACAGAACTTGTAGAGGAATACGTTTACTGTTACCTAATAGTGCAGTCAAATAACAGACCTATTCATCTCGCTCACCAATGTGTGTAAGCGGGTAGTGGCGTGTGTACCTGTACACACACACACACACACAGCTAGTCCATCCAGAAAGTTCAGAAGGTATGTCTGTAAAGCAAACCTTACATATAGACTACAATTCGAGAATATATTAATACCAACTTTAAATAACTTTAACACTAACTCTGTTTTTCAGAAAGAATTTTAAGATAATCACTCTTTTTACATATCAGATGGGTGTGCAATATGGGTTTTGGACACTATTTTTTTGTGAGATCAGTCCTTGCCAATTTTTCCTCACCAGGTATTTGGAAATGTGTTTCTTAGCAGTAAGATGCATTTTCCACACACCTCAGTTTTAAATTTAACTTTTGAAATTATTTTATTATGATTTCTCAATCCAAACAAACTTTTCAAAGTTAAATATTTTTTTTAAAATGATTAATTCTATAAGATTGAGCTTTACATAAGATGGAAACAAGGGGTACAAGGATGTCCTGGCTGGATTTGATGATCTGCTAATCAGAATTCATACATTTACATCACCAAGTTCAGAACACAGGAAGTATCAAAGCTTTTGGCTGAAATTAATTCTCCAAGCTTCTCCTACATTACAGGGTGACCACCTGGAACAGCACACATATTTACTACATAATCTGAAAGCAGGGAAGAAGTTCTCTAACCTGTCTTCTTTACAATGCTATCACAAAAACCAGTACTAATACGTTAAAGGAAACTGCTCAAAAATGTATGCAGCAATGACAGTCAGAATGCTAAAAAGCCGTCTGTGTTCCAGGTCCCTGTGCCTTTATTATACTTCCTCTTTGCAAAGCAACAGATCAGATGGCCCTGGATCAAACTCCAAGCCACTGCTCTCTTACTGGACAGATTTGGAGTTGGGCTCTTCAGCAAAACTTTGGACAAAAAGTAGGGATCTGAAAGCACAGAATTAATTGAAGTAACCTTCACTAAATGGTGGATGTAATTTCTGAAGGTTATTCAACCAGATTCAGAAAAAATCCCAAGTGATATTCTACATGCAATTTTTGCACTTAGAATGTTTTTGTTTTCATGTCTTAGTGTTTCATGCACATCTGTATCATTTATTCAAACGCTCTCAGTAACAGCAATATAAAACAAGAACAGGAGAATAAGTATTAGCTTTGAAGAAATTCTCTACAATTCTTAAGCCATTTACCAGCTGCAACTCATATTTCTAGTGATGTGTGATGCAGTCTGTTGAGGCTGGAATTTTCACATGCATAAGACTGATGCTACCTTCTCACTATAGGCAAATAACTTTTATTCCTTTTATGTCTCAAAGGACCTACAGAATGGAGACAATAGTTTACCAGTGCAAATACAAATTAGATGAAAACAAAGAGATTATGTTCATGGCAACTAGCATTTGCTTCCATGCAACTCAGACACTTATGCAGGCTATGCACAAAGCGTCAGCAACACCTGTATGCTTTCTGGAATAAGCCAGAAACAGCTCTAACTCGGGAAAACTTCTTTTTGATTTTGAATGGAATGCTGAAA